GCGGAATCCTCACTCTTCTGGCCCCTTTTGCCCTGCTTTCGTCTCCTCCCTAACTTAGAGGTGCCCAATCATTTCTTTCTCTGAGGCTGGCACTCGGCTCAATGTTGCCAGCTTCTCTGGCCTCAGCAGTCGTTAAATAATATCTCACAACATCTGTTAAACCCTTTCTGTACACTGGTAGGCAATGTGATAAGCACTTTACACACATACTCTGATCACCTTGTAGCAATTCTGTGAAGCAGTGATATAGATCATTATAATCATTTATACACAGAAAACACCAACCATGATATGAAGCCCTTTGCCTGACGTGACAGAAGTCAGCTTTTTGTGACGTCAAAGCCCAAGCTCTTTTCTCTTTGCATTCAGCCCCTTCTTGTTCTTTTTCCTTGTTTCTCCTGGCTGGTGCTTCCAGTTAGCAGCCTCTCCATTCAGCTAATTTCCCCACAACAGATTGATCTTGCCCAGATCTCCAATGCCCTGAGGGTTCCCTGGCAACCGCCAAGCCGTAAGGTTCTCAGCTAACGGAGCTTTGCAAGTGCTCTCTGCCGCCCCCGCCTGGCAAACCTTAACACAGATTAATCCCTTGGTCAACACGTTTGCTAAGAGTAGCATGACTTTTCCTTATATTTCCCTTTCTGTGAATTAGACGCTTACGTATTACTGTTTAAATTAAGAAAAACAATGATAAATTGTCAAGACCAAGATCTAAGAATATATTTAAGGTCTCAAAAATTGGACTAAAGACAAAGTAAATTTAACCTGTATTGGATACATGGATCCTCAAGAAAAGTTAATGGGAAGTAAGAATATGGGCGTGTTGCAGTCCAAGGGGTCACAAAGAGTCAGACGTGATTTAACAACTGAACAACAACAAAAACAAAAGAATATTTCAAATTCAAAATCTTTTGAGACTTTTCCTAAAGATGAGAAATTATGATTTTATGATTTTTCCTAAAGATGAGAAATTTAGATTAAAAAAAAAAAAAGACTTTATATACCCCATTAAAAAACAAAGAAACAAAAGACTATATCTTTCACATGATTTCCTGCTTTTGCAGTAGTCCCGCTTATTTGCAGGGAAAACGTTTCTCAGTGAATGCCTGGAAACTTTTATATCAATATAATTTATATCAATTTTTTTTCACATACATGCATATCTATGATAAAGTTTACTTCGTAAATTAGACACAATGAGAGATTAACAACAACAATAATAAAATAGAGCAATTATAGCAAAAATAGTGTAATAAAAGCTAACTGAATGTGGTCTCTCAAAATATCTTGTACAAACTGAATGCCTTTTCCAAATTAACTGAGCACTTACCAGGCACTGTGGTGATAAATTTTTCAGTTTGAGGTACAGAAAAACAAAACCAGCAGAAGTTTCTTTTTCCTTCTTCACAGTTTCAAAGAGAGAGGATTCCGTCTTACCATAGGCCTCGGCGCTCGATAGTTTCCCTTTCCTCAAGTTGAGCACCTTCATCTTTTCACTTCAAGGAAGCACTTTATAGCTCCCCTTTGGCATAATTTAATTGCTGCAATCACTAGACATCCGCTTTGGTGTCATTATTAAGTACAGTAAGGGTTACCTGAACCCAAGCTCTACAAACCACCGCACCAACAACTGATATGTCGGCAAAGGAAAGATTCACGTCCGGGGCAGGACATCGCGAGATTTCATCACGCTGCTCAGAATGGCCTGCAACTTAAAACTTGCTAATTATTTATTTCTGGACTTTTCCTCATTATTTTCAGTCTGCAGTTGACTTTGAGTAACAAACTATAGGAAGCAGAACCTCGGATAAGAGAGGATGATTGTACATATGTCTGTTTATGAAACTTTGCCCAGGTGTTTCAGGAAAGCCAGTATTAAAGTGTAAATTTACTGCTTTGAGTAGATTATTACCTCTTCAGCTTAATAGAAATAAGCCAATGTGAGATTAGTAGTTATCTCTTGAAATGTTAAATTACTTGTTTGATTCTGTTGTATGCCACGCATACAGTAGGTGTTCAATGTTTGATGAATTATAAATAGTACCTAAATAGCTTTTACAAATTCTGGAGAAGTGGAAAGGAATGTTATTTGACTTGGGTTAACACTGGAATTTCTGCTAAATACACAGTTGTTTGAAAGTTCTACTCAATAAAATACTGTACTAGTACAATGAATTAGTGGGTATCCTCTTTCCCCAAAGTTAATGACTTTCTCAAGCATTTGGCTTTCTTACCATAGGATTAGTTCCATTATTTCTAGGCCAGTCAATAGGCGCAATTCCAAGATTAAGAGCAATTTGGATCACTATTCTCCTTTCATCACATATTCATTATTCTCTGTTTGAATAAGACCTGTAATCAGTGTTATTTACCAATCTTTATGGTGAAACTTTAAACCACTGATTATTCCTGTCTTTGCAGGTATTAAACACCATTTCAAATATCCTTTCAATAAATTTGTAGTAGCTAATGAGGTCCATTTTTCCAGATTTTTCAGTCCACTGAAGCACACTGAAACCCTGAGAGTCTTTAAAAAGTATGTGTTGTTTAATTGGTGGCAGCTGTTCCTTAGAATGTTACCTAAGTACAGAAGTGTTTTTCCCCCCCTGTTTAATAGCTTGTTAAAAAATCACAGTTTAAGTTATCCTCGATGTATATATGGAGCACATATAAAGGTCCCCTGAAGTTCTTTGATATTGAAAATTTAAACTACTATAAGTCTAATATATGCAAGAAATTATAGGACAGTACTCTTTAATTTTGGATTTAATTACTAAAATTTAAAAATGTATATTCTTTAGGTACTCAGGATAGATTTCTTCAAGAGAAAGTATTAATTTATTGTAGTTAATTCTAAAGCATATACATTCTGCATTACTTGAATGCAGCATTTTCCTGCTTTGTCCTTGAATTCTTTCCAAAAATCATTAAGTACTGGATACATACAGTAATAGCAGATAGGCTTAAAAATCACTATGAATCCAGTGTATACCCACTAACATTTTATAGGAGAAATTTTGAAAAGAAACACACAGACATCTAATGTTCAAAATAACCAGAGCCAAATATAATGATTTTACAGTTGAAGGATTGCCAAGATGTACATTTTCTGAGTGTGGTTTTCCTGAGAGTCTGTATGCAGATGAAATATGGCTTTTAAGAACGTAATCTTCATGGATCAGGTCTTTCTTGTCATAGCACTGGACTGACTTTCACGTCAAGGTCAAAGTCCTTTCTGCAGATCTAATTTTAGGTTTTCCATTTCTCACCAGGACGCTGCAGGTTTTGAGTTAGTTGCGACACAGACTGCATTCATTGTGCTGTAAAAAGAGGAGGGAAGCCTTCTCTCTGCGGTTTTCCCTGCTTCTGTCCGGAGACTCCCTGCTATGATCTGGTTGGCCGCCCCCTGTGGTCACCTCGCCCCATTAAATGGGGTGGTCTCTGGGATGGCAAAGGCATACTCAGGGCGCTCCTTCCTTTCATCTCTTTTGGATTTTCTGAGACAGTGGTGAACTTACGTTATCATTATTAATCAAAAATTGCCTAGATCTTCAAACTGTAAACCTGAAGGAAAAGTAGTGAGGCCAAAGGGATTTCATTTAGACAGGGGTAGAAGAGACCAGGAAACCAGGGCATGAAGATAGAAAATGTCAAATGTCACTCCTTTACTTTTAGTATTATATAGAGTGCATAGAAGTCTGTAACAACAACAACAACAAATCAAAGAATTTCCGTTTCATTTTATGGCCTTTCACTGAAAGAGACAGAGGAGTGAAGATAAAAGGGCCAGGGAGAAAGCCCAGCAAGCCACCTTCATGTTAGCAAAGTCTCCAATAAGAAACGATCTAATATAATAAGCATGTATCTTTTTTCCCTAAAAAGAAATCACTTGTTTTTTTAAAAAGGAATATTTTCTGTATTTATTATAAGCAGTACTTTGATTTTATAAGAAGTTTAGAAGCATATACATCTATAAAATCTTTTTCCCTTCGTTTTTAGTGAGGAAAGATTTAAATATCCACTTCTGGATATTGGAAATGGAAGTTGGAAGATTTTTTTGCATCCTCTCCAAGTGCCCCATAAAATGTTATTTTCATTGCATAGCAGCCCCATCTGGTGGTTATTTGTAAACTTTCCACTAAAGATACGTTGCATTTTCTCAGTTACGGGCATAAGTGGGATCCTTGCTTTTAATTTTCTCTGTAGGCTGGATGAAGTTAAGCAGGGAAGAAGAAAGAGCATGCATCAATTCAGTTTAAGAGGCCACAGGCTGGAGAGGGGAAAATATGGTAGGGATTCAGTAAATAAGTGAATTAGTGTTGGGTGAAGGGCAAGTTGTGTTCAAAGCTGAAAGGGAGGGTAATAAGATCCCCCAGAGAGAACACCATCATTTCCCTCCTCAACCTGCGAAGGCATTTGACCCTGTACCTGTCTGCTTCGTTAGACTGGGGAGGCTTTCTTATGCATCTCTATATCCTTGTTTTAACACAAGGCTTTGCAATGCTAGGTCCTGCCCTGGCAAGGTCTCTGGTTTCACAGGGCTGAAACACAACTGAAACTAGCTTCCTAAGAACTGGAAAGTAACCAAACGGCCAGAGGGACAGAAGAAATGGTCAGCTCAGGGAAAGCTGAAGCACGGATTCGAATGCCAGCAGGACTGTTTCTTCCTCTGGTGTCTCTCAGAGTTCTTGCTGTATTGCCTCATTTTCTCCTCTGCTTTTTAACGGGCTCTTTGCTGCTTCCAGATTCACCGCGCCACAGCTCTCAAAGAGGCGGCAATAGGCACTCAATAAGACTAGCTCTTTTTCCTGAGAAGGAGAAGGGTGCTTGCCTATTGGTCTCCTAGGCACTTCTGTATCTGGACAAAAACAGCTCTTAGCAGCAGTAAAGGCAGCTGTGAAGGGCAAAGAGCGAATGAGCTCACACACAGGAAGGAAAGTTTTGGGCCGCTTGTTTGTATGGAAGCCAGGCCCAGAGGTTTTATTTTATGTTGCTTACCTAGGAAAGTCACAGACAGGGGCTTCCCCAGAGACTGTCTTCTGTAGCCACTGTTTGCTCCAAATAGTTCCAGGAGCCACCCCGTACTCCCACAGCCAGCAGGAGTGTGCTTCTGCGGGGTCCCTGATGGGGAAGAACAGAGCTATTTAGGAATGAACTGCCCACCCACTGTTAAGTAATGTTCTGTCTCTAACGCAGTCTCTCCGTGGAGGAAAATGTGTTGTGCGCTTGGCTGCAGCCTTTACTACGCATCTGCCTGTCAAGCTTGAACTGTAGCTCTGAGGGCCCAGCTTCCAAACAGCAAGCAGTTTCTGAAGCCAATGCGGGCTTTAGGAGGCAGACCACAGCTGGGGAGGCATCAGGGTAACAGCTAGTCTACCATGAGGGTCTGGTGGAATCAATTAGGAAAGTGAAGCAGGGGTCTTTACACATCACTGGCTGATTGTGTCTCCTAGAACAACGCCATCTAGCAGTCCTCCCCAGAGTTATTCCAACAGCGGTGGCCCCTGGAGCGGTGGCTTAAGCTGCAAGGTAGTAAAGTTTAGCTATAGGCATCCCACAATCCAAGCTAAAGCCACAGTTTCCTGAACAGTTTCCCAACATTACTCTGTCTCTTATTAAAAGTACAGTTAATCTGGACCTTTTCTCCCCCTTAATGTCAGAAAAGAAATGTGTTCCTGATAATAAATGCTTCCTTTGCTGCACCGCTATATTTCATCAGGGCTGTAGTTGGCAAATTGCTGCTGCATAGTATAAACTAAGTAATGAAACATAAGATATGTGCCTTGTATAATTTGCTACTGGTGGACACAGTTATTCTCTATTATCAAAACACAGAAGCAAGCCCCTACCCCAGGTAGGATCAGATCAAATTCTATCACACATTCCACCCCAGCACAACAAAACAACCAAACCATTGAGTTTCCTAGGGAAATTTGGTTACCAGGTAACTCCTGGGTCACAGATTCTTTTGAAAATTATTCTTATATTCCAAAATAATTATTGGGTTATATGGTAATGGAGTGGGTTTCCCTAGAGGCTCAACGGTAAAGAATGCACCTGCAGTGCAGGGTCTGGAGGAGACATGGGTTCAGTCCCTGGGTCCAGAAGATCCCCTGGAGGAGGGCATGGCAACCTACTCCAGTATTGTTGCCTGAAGAATACCATGGACAGAGAAGCCTGGAGGGCTACAGTCAATGGGGCCGCAAAAAGTTGGACGTGACTGAAGTGACTTAGCATGCATGCATGCATGGTGATAGAGTATCTTGGAATGCTCAACCAAGTTGATTTGCAGGAGGCAGGAAGCCCAGTCTAGCAACAGGATGAATAGTAAAATTACGCATATCCCTATCCCATAAGGAATCTTTGAGTATCATTTAATTTACCTTCATTATGGTCATTAGAAAAAAATGAACAATTTTTTTTTTTTAGAGATCTCTTTTTTTAAATGTGAGTTTTGAGAAGATTTTTTTTGGGGTTTTCCTTTTGATCTTCTCTTTTTGTGTCCTTGGTATTTACTGAGTAACCTGTAGGTTTCTCTAGAAGTTGACAGGAGATCTATGTAAGCAAAAAATATTCTTGGAAACCAGATAGTGCTGTGGACTTCTACACTGTTGGTGTATTTCTGCTACTTCATTTTTCCAAACTAAGTTTGACAAACAAATACTGTGGGTCTAGGTCTTGATTACCCAAGCCCTCTTCCTGTGGAATTTGAACTTGAGATTAGCTCAGGCAGCTTTGCTGATTGCTAGCCTTCATCTCTAACCCTGGAGCGAGACCAAATATTTCTCAATAAGTAAGTGTTGAGATGGTCCCCTTCCCTCCTCACCTCACAAGCTCAGTCAGGTGGTTGATATTTCAGGCGTAAGTCCAATCCTCTTCAATTTTCCCCTCTGCACAAAAAGGAGAGCCAAGCAAGAGTGACTAGACTTCGTAACTGCTCATTATGGGGCCATTCATTACACTTTGTGTGCAGTATGTTAATAAGCCAAGAGACCATGGCAGAGTCCATAACTAATCTACTGTTATAAATAAGAGTAATGGAAATGGTACCAGTATATTCTGTGGACATAATGTGCTGCTGGCTAAGTGTGACATTTTGAATAAACTTTATTCTTGAGGTATTTAAAAAAACATAAAGGCAGTAATGAAATATAGAGCACAACATTAGTTGACACAGCAATTCCTGCCTCCCAAGACCCTGCTAAATAACCAGAGTTTAAATCTTCATCTTGAAATATACAGCTCTTCTAAGATTTTAAGTGAGTTGTAAAACTTTTATGTACTATGCCCTAACTTTATTTTTAAAATATTCTCCACTTTTATAGTAAAGGTGACCCAGAAGTACCTTATGAATAATAGAACAACATATTTAAGCTATTAAATTCACCTCTCTAGACGATACATAAGCTTTCCTGGTACTCACACTTTTCCTAGATGGAAGCAGGAATTGGAAAGTATCTTGAATTGTCCATTTACCCAAAACATACTGGTTTTAACTCCAGAAATGACTGAATTGTACTTCAAATGGGAAAACTTAAAATTTCTGCCATCCAGTTGAAACAAGAATTCAAAACCTAACAGCACTTATTATAGAAACTTAGAGAAAGTCAAATATTTGTATACCTGAGTGTTGAAATAGTGAAAAGTTCATACCCCCAACGCCTGGTTTAGAGTTGTTTTTTTGGACATACAATAGCTGACTTAGGCCTGTGGGATGAGTTTGTTCCCATATACAGAGAACTCATTTTAAGTCTAAAAACTAATTAAGGTACTCAAGCACTTTTTATTTATTGCCTGTCTCATCATTGAGTTATGGTTCTCTGATTATATAAAGTTCCCATACATCTCTTAGTGAGGGACAATTTATTTTCTACCTTTCTTTGTTTCTTCTTGTTAAGCTTACATTCTTTGAAAATAGTTGTAGTCTAACACACACACACACACACACACACACATAAAGTAGGTTCACACACAGTATGGCCTTCAGCTTATCCACAATATGTTCAACGTTGTTTGAATATGACAATAGTGTTTAAAAAATGAGAAACCGGTTCATCTATTTATTTCTTCTCTTTCACACTGAAGTCACCTATAATAAGTAGGCTGTATCCTAATCGATCAAAGGCACTTAGTAAACAGTTTCTTTTATGTGGTGCCATATTAAGCATTATCCAAAGGACAGTAGTCTAAGCCACAGACTAAAAGTTCTACTTTCTGTGACCTCTCAGAAAATATCTACTTCCACAAACATTTAGTAAGAATGCAATTGTTTACTGAATTCAGAGGTCTTGTTACAACTAATGGTCTCTGTTTCAGTATTCATGGAGGGCAGGGCACGTGGCAATGTCTTTTTTGCCTAGTAGAACTCTACCGTGTGAGCATCAGTTTCCTTTATATCTGTGTTCAGTTGCTCTTCTCTTGTCCTTTTTGTCTTAACTTCCAGCCTCAGTTCTCTTGTTAAGGGAAGAAGCCAAGTGGGGCTCCAGCCAGCTGAGTTTAGTGGCTGCAAGTATGGAAGACGTGGATTTGGTTGTTCCCCATGTGGCTTAGGGGGAAGCACACTGCTTAGTCTCTCTGGAAAGCAGGTGGGCACTGCAGACAAATGCCCTTTTACTTCAGGCAATGTTAAGTGAACAGAAAGTCTATAGTGGGTACAGTTTTAGCAGGAGGAAAAAAGGAAATCCTTCCTCTTTTGTCAATAGACTCTTCCATTCCTGTATTACTCACTGGAGGACTTGGAGATAGAAAATCAGAGAAGAGTAGCAAAGACAAGGAAGAGGCAAGTAGGTGGGATGAGGGGGTGGAGAGAGGAGCTACTGGAGACCTGCCAGGACCTGGCTGAGGGAGGAAGCTGGGATCTGGCAGCCTCAAAGGTCCTGGCCAGTTGGTGGGGACCGCGGGGGATGCTCTTGGGTCTCCTTCCTGGGGCCACTTTAGGCCTCACCCCGTGGTTCGCAGGACGGTCTAATGTCTTCTGTAAAATTTTGAAAACAGTCAAAACATCATTTTCCTTTAAAAACTTGTTGAAAAACCTCTTCAACAATGGCCTGTGCTGGATATTTCTCAACAACTTAAAATCCACTCAAGTGGAAAGAAATCAAATCCTTTAAGACACAAACACACACACCTACATACAGAAATTCTTTCCTACAAATAAAATGCATACTTCATTTTACAAATATCCTTGTCTTGTAACTATTTTTAAAACTATTTCAAAGGGCTAGCATTAAGGAGCTTATTAGAGTGATGGATCTGTATTCTGAAGGTGGTTACCCAAATCTACACATGTGTTAACATTCATAGAACTATATACTCAAAAAAGTCAATGTCACTGTATTATAATTTTTATTTTTTATTTGGCCATGCTATATGGCCTATGGGATCTTAATTTCCCAGCCAGAGATTGAACTGGGTCCCCAGCAGTGGAAGCTCAGACCTAGCCACTGAACCAACAGAGAATTCTCTATAGTTTTTAAAAGTGAAATAAAATACATTTTACTGACATAAGAAATAAAAAGTCCAGCTCCCTTGTAAGTTGTCTCCCCTCTGTGATTAGCATAAAGCTAAGATTGCTGTTTGGAAGAAAATAGATTCACTTGAAATGTCTAGACTCTTTGAAGCATTAATGCATCCAGTTTAAACAAAACTTCAGCTGTGGAATTTCCAAAAGTCACTTTCTTTGAGGAGTATGTGTTTTGTTTTCCCCTCTGGGTATTCATATAGATTCAGATTCAGGAAGTTTGTACTCTCCTGACACTGCACCTCATTCCTCTTGAAACTCAGTGGTCCTCCTTTGCAAAGTAGGGGCTCATTCCTTTTCTTTTCTCAGATGGGTTGGTAAGAGGATCCCCTCAGATGAGGTCTAGGGAGAGAGCTGAGTAAAACACCTTGTGGATGACAACTGTGGGCAATATTAGGACCAGCTCTGTGTTCCCTCAAGTCCAAAGACTGGATGGCAGGCTTGAGGCGGCATCTCTGCTCTTCTGCTGAAAAGGAGAAGCAGAAATTCTTCTCTGAGTTCCCTGGGAGACTGTAGTGTTGACACCCCCAAGCAAGCTCTAAACAGCCTCGCACTTACACACCCTGATATCCCAGGAAGAAGGAAGGATGCAGCAGAGAGTTGTGTCTGGAGATTTAGGGGAGTCCAGTGGAGCAGAATGAGGGCTCCAGGCGCAGGGCTGAAGTTTGGGTGGCACATGCCAGAATTGTCTGTTTGCAGTTGGCAACCTGGTGTTATACCGAGGTTCTGTGGTGTTGAATTTAACCCTTGTGGGCAGAGATCATTGAGGCAGCATAAATAAGTGGGACAGCCTAGTATAAGAATTCCATGATCCTCTTGGTTCATTTCTATTTTTCCAACTTTTAAAAGACATGATTACAGGGAGATAGTTCACAGTTCTTAGAAAAGCATCAGTACAGTGAAAAACGGAAACACACGCAGTCTCAGAGCAAGAAAAGAATGATGAGGATGGTGACCACTTATGTAGGTAAAGGGGAGAGATGCTACTTGGCTAGAGACTTGGAGGTCTTAATATTTATTGGGCCCCTTTGGCAGCCTGGTGAAGCCTCTGGAACCCATCTCAGGATGATATTTTTTAATGAAGTAAAATATATGAGATTACAAAATTAATTACATAAAAATACAGGGATTCCATAGATTTAGGTTAAGAACAGTTGTTCCTGTGCAGCAATAAGGGCCTTGGAGCGCTAAATCGGAGAAGGCAATGGCACCCACTCCAGTGCTCTCACCTGGAGAATCCCATGGACGGAAGACCCTAGTGGGCTGCAGTCCATGGGGTCGCTAAGAGTCAGACACGACTGAGCGACTTCACTTTCACTTTTCACTTTCATGCATTGGAGAAGGAAATGGCAACCCACTCCAGTGTTCTTGCCTGGAGAATCCCAGGGACGGTGGAGCCTGGTGGGCTGCTATCTATGGGGTCACCCAGAGTCGGACACGACTGAAGCGACTTAGCAGCAGCAGTGTCTTGACCAAACCAGGGAAAGCTTAAAATGGTCATTTGTCTAATGGAAGAGGATAAAACACAGTGGAGAGGGTGTATGTGTCCTACATGCTTGGATTCAAGTTCACAGCAAGGTCAGTAATTATTTTCCTTCTTTTGTGATTTTAATTTTAGCATCTCACTTTCCACTGTGATTTTCCACTGAGATGTTTAGATAGATTTTTTTTTTTTAAGTTTGGCTTTGGGATTTAAGTTTTTTAATTTTCTTTTATCACTTCTTTCTACTAACTCTTAGTAGAAATAGATTTTTCTCCCTGATGGAAAAAAGGGGAGAGCTAGTGTCATCCTATTGGCCTAGAAAGGTAATGCTTCCCTGGTGGTCCAGTGGTTAAATGCAGGGGGCACTGGCTCGATACCTGCTAGGGGAAGATCTGAAATGCTGAGGAAAAAAAATGTAATGCGTGGGTACACACCAAAGGAAAAACAGAGAGTAAGGTCTCTATTTCAGTAAAAATGTCTGACAAATAATAATCTCTAGAAAGAACTTTTATCTGTTCTGAACATAATTGAAATAAGGTTGAATCAGATCATTATCATTTCTTATAATTGGAAAATACATTGATCTCAAAAGAGTCATGGGATCTGTATACATTTACTTACAAAAGGGTCCTCACAATCCAATAAATGGAAGCCACACCATAAGGTCACTAAGTTATTTTTTTCAAGTGGAGTCAATGAAGTATAAAGGGACAAACTTTCCTAAATCAGTGGCTTCTAAATCTTTTTGACCACCATGTGAAGAGAAGTATATTTTACATCTTTATATATATATATATATATATATGGCATTATATATATATATATGTGGCATATATATATATATGGCATTATATATATTCATATTTTCATGAAGATAAAATGCAAATTCCAGAATTCATCCTGGGATGTTCTAATCCTTAAGTCTTACAGTAGGGAAACCCTAAACCTGGCTTCTAAATATCTTCCTCAAAGATGCTGATGAATGCATCCCCTTGGAGCACATTTTGAAGAACATAAGAGTAATAGTATATCAGGTTTGATTAAAACAAAGACCTGGGCTCCCAGGAAGTTGTTTCCCCTATTGAGCAAAACACAGTTTAAAGACTCACAAGGCTTCCTTCAACTAACCCACTGAAGCCACTTAGAACAGCTGTCTTTGCCAAAACTGTCAGAAAATCTCCACAAGTTGACCTGCAGAGGAGCAGGATTGGGATGTGAACTGCATGGGAAAAGATCTTATTAGAAGTCGTTTAATTTTTTTTTTTAGAAGTCGTTTAATTTAATTAGCAGCAGGGCCCCAACCTTGGGAAAACCCCGCAGAAGTCTAAGTGGCAGATTTCACAGTGGCCACGAGGTGGCGATGTTCTGCATCTATTTGAAATGCTCTGCTGTTATCCAGTTTTAGCTTATTTGCAATATTAAACACATCATTAATTTTAAAAGTGTGTATTAATTTTAAAAGGATGCAAGTAGATATGATTTAACAGGTGAGACTTCAAACTTGCATTTCACTCAAATACTGACATGCTCTAGATG